TTGGATGGGTGACCTAAACATTATACCTACTCACGCTTTTGCTCCTTTTTTCCGTTTTCCTTTTTTGATTTTTAAAATAATAGAATAGTGATTAGTGAAACTTTTCTATTTTCCAGTAAACTATTCCCGTCTAACCCAAATCCGTCAACGTGAAATCTAGCACAAGAAAATCCCTGAAAAAAATGAAACTGCCAGCCATTTAGTATTTTCATTATTTTGTGTATCATATGTTCGAAAAGGACTTTTGGGTAGAGCCGTGAAGACCCTTGGGTACTATTGCGCAATTCTGGCATTTTTCTGACACAGGAAAATACGGAGACACGTAACGCATTTTTAGCTTGGGCTGCCACAGGCAACCCAGTAATTATCTTTAAGTTTCCAGCATTGACACTAAGTTTGTGCATTTCGTAAAGCCCATTTGTCAGGCATGTTTGAAAGTCAAATTTACATATTTTTGCAATAGCATGAAGACGTTTCAACTAATTTGCATACGGACTTAGAGCATGCGCAAACGTTTTTAACTCCGGTGTCGAACGAGTGTGTAATTTTTACATTATACAAAGTCCATGTGAATATGCTGTGCGGCCGACGCAAGACAGAAAAATGACGTCATCTTTCTTAATTAAAAACTCATTATTTRTATCATAATTGTGATGTCATAGTGCGCGCAGAAAGAAGAGACAAACTGCCAGTTTACGATATGGGATTTAATCATGACGTYTGCATGGGTGCGTTATGACAAAAATAGACTTGAAAATAATTATATTTATAGTTTTTGAAAATCTAGCGTTTTTCACTGATATAAATGCATCAAAATTCTGCGACGAGAATCCCAGTCTTATTCAGTGCATAGCAGCACGAAATCAGTTTGTGCTGCCCGATCGTGAATACTGCAACCCTCACGAAAATTCATGCAGAACCGGTGACCTCGTTGACCCKAGAGTAGCAACGTGTGAGCCAAGATTTTCATCTCACATTCATAAAGATTTGACATTTGGTTTCAAAGAAAGCAAGACCTTTCGCTGTTTTCCAGCGGTAGARTCCCCTGCGTCGATCAACCACAGGTCTGTAGGACCTAGTTATGGCCAACCGCAATGCACCCCGGTGGATTATCGATACGAATCGGGAATGAAAGAAGGAGATAAGATTCCTGGGACGTTCGTCTGTGGAGAGCTGGGTACTCGATGTGTGTGTTCTGCGCCTGCGATGAAAAGCGGTGTTGGAGTTTGGAAGAACAATGAATGTCGGTAAGAAAACACTGAAACATTTGGAAATAATATTGAAGCATGTGCTATCTTGTTTTCTCTATGCCCAAATTAGCCTCGACGAATATTTTTGTCATCTCAAACTTGGTGTTATTCACTTTAATTTAGTATAATTCAAACAAGCTGCCATTCTCTTGAGTATTACTCTAACTACGTATCATTCCCTTTAGCATTATTCACGAGAGTTCGTCGCGCGTAATGTCGTGAAGATATCGCGATATGTCGTGTCGTTCCGTGATGTATTTCCGGGTCCAAATGCTCAGAAAACTACTAAAATATAAAGCGAAAAATGATTGGAAAGATTTAAAGAAAAAGTAAAAGAAAAACGTTTTTGTAAAACTTTCGTTTTGGATGCGAAAGTCGTTTTTTTGATGCGAGTGACGTCAAACTTAATAGCTTTCTCSCTATATAGGGATTATCAATGTTGTTATTTATAAATCATGTTATTCTATTTGATCACAAGGTGTCAGTATTTTGTTGATCTCTGCAAGATCCAAGAACTTTGCCTGTYTTCCAATGCAAAATGCAAAATGTGGGGTTCTGACGTCAGCTGCGTTTGCTCCACTGACCAAAAGAACTGCAGCCTCGGTATAAACCAATGCAAAGCAAATCCAAGTCTGTGTGAAGATGTCGGAAAAACCTGTGTGGAGATTGCTGATAAGAACCTGAAATGGATTCTGGGTAGTGAAAAAGATGGCGATGGCTTTGCCTGTATGACGTCAGACACTATAGAACAATTAAAACTAACGACTCATTATTGTGACGTCACTAGAGTGACAGTTGATGGGGGKCTGAATTCTAAGCCAACCAATGAGCTGGATATTTGTTGCTATCGAATGCTGACCTGCGCAGGAGGTGAGACTTTCCCGCCAAAAGGCGCCATCTTTAGTTACAGGCGGTGCTTCTGTAACGTAGAATTTAGAAAATGCATTCTAAATCTTGCGCATAATCCGAAATTTAAGACYGCTGTCAAAGAAATGGCAAGAGCCATTGATAATGTTACCGATTGCGTGATGGACGATGGTACAAAGTGTGACCCTTCTAAACCGGAAACGTGTCGCAAAGGAGATCTTATCAGCCCAAACGTTGCTCATTGTAAGATAGACTGCAAGACGGGACCTCTGTTGCCTATATGGGCTCGCGCATGCTCAATACGACAATGTAAGCCACCCAATCATCAGTCATATCTTCGAATCATTGATGTCCCGGATGGCAGGGAAAGCTCAATATGTAGACCTGTGGAAGGACTGCCTGTTGTGTGCGAGAAGAGCGGGACGGACACTCGATGTGTCTGTGATGGTAAACCAGAGGGTAAAGCCTTCACAGATAAATGTAGATGTCAGTATTGGCCATTAAAATGGAAAGCAAAATAAATAGAAATCTTGCACAACTAGATAAGAGTTAAGATTGTGACAGCGCGMGGCGGGATACGGTTTTAAACAAAAATAGTTTGGGGAGTGAGAGCAAACGCCACGAAAGAAATTTGCGCATGAGTGCATGCCAATGTATTTCCCCATGATACTCTAAATACAATGTCGGGGTACAAATATCAAGGGTACCAGAAAGCCGGGGGGGGGGATGGAGGGAGGGAATCTCCCTCCTCATTTCCMCTGCCCGGGTATCTGGCACTCAGAGTAGGGTACAAATTAAGCCAAATTTTAATTTTTATCAAAACTTAAAAATGATTTATTTATTTAAGGATTCTTGCGCATAAAAAGCTGGTGCTTCGCAATAAAAATGGTAAAAAGTCACTTATTTAGGGACGTACCTATCGCCAACTTTGTAACAATTAACAGGAGATAAACATTCAAAAAGTGGTTTAATGTCAGCCTAACCMCAAAAGCGCTAGAGATACAACTTTTTAAGGTTTCATTCAATCAATTTTCGCTTCATTCCATGCATGATTTTGTTGTAGTTGTTACGGATCGCCATATCTTACGTCAATAGTCCCCTTCACAGTTCCCTGTGCCATCTTGAAAGGTAGCCGTGCCTTTGCATTGAAACGAGACGAACGGTGAGCTAGCTTGCAATGATAGAGACATGTGAATAATTGTCCAAGGTGTTAAAAAAGGTCTCTATCATTGCAAGCTCACCGTTCGTCTCGCTTCGATGTAAAGACACGGCTACCTTTTAAGATGGCGCAGGGAACTGTGAAAGCCGGGACTATTAGCTGTAAGTCTATCTTAAGTCCCCACCACCACCACCAAAAGGGCTAGTACTTTCATTCCCTTCTCGAGGATGTTCAGCATTTTGCGGCTCTTTCTCCGTTTCTTTGACCTCCTTATATTCAAAGAAGCAAATAGAAATAGCCACAAAGATGAAAAAGTTGAGCATCATTAGCCCAGACATGAGAAAGAGATAATACTCAAGGTGACCACTGTTGATGTTGTCAGTTGGATACCACGTGGTACTTGCTGAAGTCACTATTGCTGCCAGGGCGCTGGCCAAGTAGTACCCAAGCCCTATAGTGCCAAGGCATAATCCCATTATCAGTCCRTGAAGATATTCAGGAGATTGGGTAAAAGCCATTTCTAGTCCTATAACGTAAACAGACAGTTATGATCAAGTTATGATCGGGGATGTCTACCTATATAAGGTTAACATAAGAGGCGTTCTGATCATCAGCTTAGATCTCTATCCCTTAGTCAATGGACACAGAGAGGTTATATGAAAATCCTTTACGGCGACAAATCAAAATCACGCTTAGGTATTCTATCCATCAATAAAATGGAAGCAATATTTGAGATAAAACGCACGCGCTGATTGGCTGGTTACTGTGTGTTTATATCAGAGGACAGAGACACGCTCGCGCAAAATCGTTTAAACATATTTCATAAAAGGAATATAAAACGGCTGCTTATGTCTCTGTACGGTAATATAAACACTCTGGGCGACGCAGAGCACTTGAAAAGCAAGAGAAAAATGCTATGTTTGCTTTTCTCGTCCTCTATAGCTCCCTGCTTGATTATATCACAGTACAGAGACATGCGCGGGCTCTTAAAGATATATYAAATATTGATAATTTCAGTACTTCAGACCTGTAACCGACACTAAAGCTTCCCCAGCTCCTTGGAGTATGTACTGTGGAGCTTGGTAGAACACGTTCATTGAAGATGCATTGACAGTTTTATCAAATAGGACTTGTTGTATGTAACCATATTCATCAATAAACCTAGAAAAACAAGCGGAAAAGAAACGACGTAAAAATAATAAAAAATAAACACTGATTTCAATCATTATATTAACTATTATTCTTAATTTTTCGCGATACCAGGTATCTTGCGCATTAATTTCCTAACTCTAGTTTGCACTTGAAGAAATAGAAAATGCGCGCGCGTGCTGTGTGCTGTCATAAAGCACGCGGGGGTTGGCAGAACACGAGAGAAGTGTTAGGAGAAGCACGACGCGTAGCGGAGTGCTTCTCGACACTTCACGAGTGTTCTGCCAATCCCCAAGTGCTTTATAACACCGCACAGCACAGCAAGTAAGTTTCTTATTTCTTCTATAAAATGCAAAGGGCACGTGCGTGCTGTGTGCTCTCATAAAGCACGCGCTCCCAATCAATCAGAATGCGAGATTTATAACAGTTATTTTATAATTACTCTTTATACCTTCACGCAAACGCTTTGATTCTTCATGATAATTTGTCTTATCAACCATAGATTTAATACATATGTTCCGAGCTTTTTTTTGATTCTTATTAATATTGTTTGCGTGCTTCATATTAACTAACCGATACGTTTGACCAGCCACTGCTTGGCTTATTATAGCCTTTGCATATATTATTCTTTATTCTTGAATATACACTAGTACGTCACGTAAAAAAGATAACATAGTTTGTACCCACATATTATCTGTCTGTACCTTTGCTTCCATAATGTTTCACATAGCGTTTTTCCAGGTACACRAGCTATTTCCTTCTAATAGTTTGCGCGCACACTGTCTGCGCTTATACTATTTCCCATCTATACGTTTGCGCAGACGCACACTGTTTTCCCTATAAGTTTGCGCACAAATTAAAGTAAACTGTTTCCTCTATAGGTTTGCGCACCAACTATTTCCTATCTATACTTTTGCGCACGGCACACTGTTTGCGCACATAATTTTTCCTTTATGAGAAGCTATCTTCAAAAGCTTACTTTTTCCTTCCAATCTCTACAAATCCCGCCACAAATACCGAACCAGACGCGCAGAGCATACCAACACCGATCCTTTGCAGAGGAGTGACTCTGAAACCAAAGTAACGCAACAGAGGATAGATTCCGTGGTCAAGCAAGGGTAGAATGATGAGTAGTGAGCCAGTCTCGAATACATTCAAAGATGCAGCTGGTACCGTGAAGCTTCCGAGTTTTAGCCTCATATTCTTGGCTTGTATTACATATGTTGTCAGACCCTGTGCAAGAAAAACATCATCTATGAGTCAATTAAGATACTTAGTCATCATCATAATTTTGYTCTGCATACGTGTTGATTTTATTTCATTTCATTTTATTGACTTTGCCAGGAATTGATGGGTTGCAAGCCATTCCCAAGAGAGTTAAAAGACAAAAGCATGGTGGCCATTGTGGTGCCGTTAACAGTGAATGCTAATGCGAAATCGTTTGTTAAATGGTACCAATATGGCCGCGATGATGTAACGTGCAAACGAAGAAAAAACACAACAAAACAAATTAAAAGCAACAGAATAGACCCCTTGCAGCACGTGGAAATGCAGCAGAATTTGGAAGRCACAGCAATAGGTTTCCAATTCTCAGGAGATTGAAGTTCTTTTGTTTTGTCATCCAATTTGAGCTCCTTTGACGTCACRTGCAAGGGGTCTTYTTGAAAGGCAGGGTTACCGCTGCAACAGCGGAGCCAAAYATTTGTTTCCGTCCTTAGGRAGGGGAATCTTGTCTCCAGCAGTCRCACATAGTCCAATGTCTTCATCGTTATTCCTCTAGCCTGTTGGGTGTCTTTACCTAGCAGGGATTCAATCYTGTGGAGTGGGGTACGAGAGGGATTTKGAAGGGAATGAGATACTACATTAGAGAGATTGAGAGATTACCATGCTGGTCGACAGTTAGCAAATGCAAAGAAAAAGGACCTACCTGACCGAAGACTGTCCAATAAAGTACAAATGTCAAAAATATAGGCATTAACCGCAATACGGAACGAGTGTCCTCCACTGATTCACGTGACCATCTTTCTTTGTGTACCAGCCTCACTCGATCAAGCCAGTTAATACTTCGTTCGTCTTCGCTCTTACTCTTAAAAACCCCTACCAGTCCATGCCATGCGATTTTAATGGTATCTAAAGCACGGCTATYCGAGCTAGGTGACGAGTCAACATACCCTATGCGATTACCTATTAGGAAGAAGAAAATGCCCAGGAGTATCGCTAGCGAAGGTATGAGATATCCATAGAAAAACGAAATCTCCTGCTGCACGTAAACCACCAGGGTGAAGGCAATAAACCCGCCAAGCTGGACAAACCAGTAAAACCAGTCAAAGAACCGTTCAACGACTTGGGAACCTTGGTCTTGGAGTTGCTCGGCTCCTAGTGGAGACACGTTGGATTTAATGCCTCCAGTACCTAGTAGAAATAAAACTTAGGGATGAGGGCAAAACAATATATTGTCATYTCACGGGACCCCATTTAGGGGGGAGGGGTGGTGTTACCCGGTACACACCACCTCTGGAAGTGAAATCTTAGATTTTGTCCYCAAATACCTCCATAACTAAAAGCCAAATCACAGAAATGAATGGACTGTCTGTCTGCATGTATGCTAAAAAACATATTTGTGTATAGAAATTGCCACTACAGACCCCCAGTATCGAGCATTAATGTACAGGTTTCTGAGGGGGGAGGGGGTATGTACCGGTACCTACCACCTTAATTTATAAAATCGGGACCCCATTTAGGACCATTTTTTTTACCTCGCCCCTTATACTGATTAATAAGCAAATAAAAAGAATTTCCAAGAATAATTGAGGGTTATTTTCTTTCTAATCGTAYAAAGTTTATTGGCTCAAATAAACTTCGAATTTAGTGCAAATGTTT